AATCAAAGACAAGAAGCCTAGGCCATTGCTTTTTTCTCATTTTGCTGATTTGGCCATGTTTAACCTTTATGTAAATACTAGTTGCAAAATTTTGCACTCACAAAAAGGTCACTTGATATATTATTACTGTTTTTTTTTCAACATAACAAATGAAACATTTATGCACCTTAGAACATCATCATGATCACGAACATTGATAAGGTTCAGGGCTAAATAGGTCGTCTGGGCTATAACTCATATTTAATTTATTAAAGTGGGCTAAGACTGAAAACTCCAAGCGATTGGGAGAAAGTTGTTAAGACTAAAAGGCGACATGGATGAATTTCGAGCCAACTCGACAAAACGAATTTCTGCGTAAGCTCGCTTAAAAAGACAGGATTAGTATGATTTGAAGATAAATATATCCTTGCATAAAAGTTTAGGTTCGTAAAATAAATTATATTTTGCCATCATTCAATATATCGTTCAGGAATTTGAACTGACGAACACTTAATTTCAGGTTAAGTACCACTTACAGACCAGGAGACACTCTTGTCTGTTTGCTGTCATTAAATACCGAAGTGATGTAGGAAAAATGATAAAAATAACGAGGAAATCTCGTGACTTCATCAATCCTTAGCGTGACGATTTAAGATAATTGAAAAAATTCCAGCTTTCATAATGTTGATAAACACTACTGGGAATGAACACTGCGAAAGAGCAGTGAATAGTTACAGTGTGGGGAAAATTTTAGCAGTAAATTTCTGCAGACGACTCGAAAAAAATATATTCAGTCATATGGGACCGAGGTCTGAGGGTTTTTTTTTCAATACATATTAAGCTTCTTACCATCTTGAAAGCTTATCTTGTAAGAGAACGTGTTATGACAAAATTATAGTCTTAACAGACACTGATCTGAAATCGTTTATCTCATCTTGTCTGCTTGTTTTATTTGTAAGTTTGCCTTTAATAGAGCGAGTTAAATGAAGGCTTGACGAGATAAGTGTGATAATGAGCTCTCTCATGGGTTGACCCGACAATCTTCGTCATTAAGGCCCGTAAATATCGGGTCGTGTAGTCTCTGCCTGGAGGCACACTTACATGTAAATATCGGTGGAAACCTCTGGACGTACATTTGTGATGCAATTCAAAATAAAACAATTGTGCAGTAAATATTACTTGGTTATGTAATAGTGGCCCGTGCCAGCAAACCGATTTAGGCTTCCACTGATTAGAAAATAACTTTATGGATGAGATGACCAGAACTGTGATCGGTGTAAAACCAGTAGAGCTTTCTTTGTTTTTTACTCATTATTTTTCTGGGCTCTTTTGTGCTGACTTTTTCGTTATCGTAAACTTGTTTTACGTCACTCTCGAGTGTTTCAGGTTCATACTAAGCAAGGGTGAGCCAGAAATTCGTAAAATGTGCCCGGAAAATGTGACCACTTTGAGTGTGCGTGAGCTTTGGTCCTGTCCATTGCGTAACATTTTAACCCTAAAACTGAAAGCTTTTTCATTCGGTATCCATAGAAATTCTTCACTTGGCATTCATACAAATTTAATCAAAGTTGCTGAGCTATTTTTTCTACTTTGCTGTGTTAACAAATATTTCACAATAATGGAATTCGGCTGAATTTTCCCACACTTGAACTTGGACTTCCAGGAAAGTGTAAGTCAAAGCGGAATTATGGTTTTCCGATCTGTTCTCGATCCTACCCTCTTTTGGAGGCTACCGTTCAATCCTACTCCCATTTTACAATAGAGAAGTAAAAATAAACTGACCAAGAGGTCTAATATGGGCGTTTATGTTGAAACAAACATATACAGTCGCACATGAAACTGTACAATCACCAAACAAATTCATGCATCGTGTGCAATATTGTTCATTACAAAAAAAAAAATCGCGTGCCCACCCAAAAATTTCAAGGGCCAGAGCCCAAAGTATTTGAACTATGAAATTAAAAATCAACAATCCTGTTGTGGGTATGGGAACCAATAACCGGAGAGGAAATGTATTTGAATTAAAACTGAGCTGAAGTTTCTTATATTTCTTCAACCCATGTGGCCGGCCAACTTCATAAATACTGAATTCCGTCCGCCAATTTTCAAGTGAGAAGGCCAATGCTCATCATCCGCCGGTTTTTACGTTAGCAATCAGGAAATTGAATTATAAACGATCAGTGTTTAAAAACGGCTGAGCTGGGATTGTTCAGGGCCATAATCGGACAAAGCTTAACAGAGGGCCAACATTATGGAAACACAGAGATATAAATTGTTTCTGGTACGTTTGCTTGTTAGTGTTTTGAAACTAGCTTTTGGATTAATTTTGTGCTGGTAAAATGTTTTTTTAAATGTTAGTTTGTACTTTTATTCTCGTTAGTTGAACCCTTTTTTGTCCTTCTCGCTTACTAAACGACATTTTTTAGACATCGAGGAATATATTTGTGAGAGTGCCTTTCGGTCTGATATTAGCAGGTCATTTTTTTGTCTTTTGGTCTCAGTTTAACATTATTGCTTCAAAAACTGTTTGCTTGTAGTTACAGACCAAGACAATTTTTAAAAACCTTTTAACTACGTTATTAGTATATACAGGAAAGCTGTCGAAAAGTGCAAACTTCTTCGTTTTGCCAGTTTCCAACTTAGGTAGCATATTTGTCGAGCTAGCCTTCAAAGATGAGCCACGTAGAATTGCTGTATGTGCAAAATTCCTCAGAATTTTAAGTTCCATTTTAAATATTCACAGTCTTACCTGAGTACTTTTTTTTTTCTCCGCGTGACTCCAGTTTTTCATTCACGCGTGAAGGGGCGTGTGTCCTGCACTATCATCAGATTTGGCTTGTATGATTTAAGAAATATAACAATGTGTGGACTCGTTTTAAATAACACTCATCTAGAAGAAGCATTAAGGAACTTCAAAGCTATTTATGCTGAGTTATATTCAGTTTCGTGCGACTTTACAAAACGTCAAGGGCCCATCTTATAATACTTCGCACTTATAATATTGTGACGCGTTTCCCTAAAATACTTCTAATTATTCAAGAATTTGACTAACGACGTCAACTTTCTTAAAACTAATCTCTTACGCAGTTTGATCTAAATGTATTGGTTTATGCCCGGAAGTAAGTATTAATTCTTTTGTTGTACGCAATGTTCTTAATTTTTTCTCCAGAAGGCACCAGTCATACACTTTTTACACGTTTATTTTAAGGGACTTCTGTTCAGTTAACTGAGACTTTGCCAGCTTAAGTACTTATTTGTCTGCGGTCGATTTACAGGTTCATTTGCCGTTAATTTATGAGTCTTTTAAAACTCAATTAATTATAAGTGATTTGACTTAAGACAATGGCAAACAAACATATTTCCTGAAGTTTGACACCTAATGATCTCACTAAGATGGTTTAAATGCTTTGATATTGCTTCAGTGATCAAGAATTGTCTCGCACAAAAAAGTTGTCGCGCAGTTTCACCACAGGCAACCCAAGAGTGCTATGTGTAAGAACCGGTGAAAAGTTTCTAGCATGAATTCGAAACAAAATAATATTTTCTTCTTTATATTGCCGCCTATTGATTAGGTCAATTCATCTGACAGTCATAACTGAATAATACACAGTCTTCGAGTGAAAGAACGGAAAGTATAGGCCATCTGGCTATGAAACTTCCCGGAAGACAACCAAAAGATGATAGACTACAGATGACGAGGCATTCCTTCGCAAATTATGTGAATATTCTTCATTGTTTATGGTCAAGACTCGGGCCCGTTGTCGACTGAGGTCGGTCGTACTGGAAAGTCCGATTCCCTCAAAGCCAAATATCCAAAAGTAATGAATATAACGTGAATTTACTGACAAGCTGGAAAAAAGCCCTTTGAAAGTAAAAAAATCCCTTCAATTTACAAATAAATGCCGAACATTTTTATCGCTCCACAGTTTCGAGGTTCTCGTATGATCTTCACTATTTTTTTTTAATTTATACCATATACAAGCTAAGCAATGTATAACCGACGCTGTCTAACGGAATTAGTGTTAGATCATTCTATTTTGATCATCTCTAGTGATTCTAGTGATTTTCATCTCTAGTAATTCTGTTAAATGATGGCAGTTTGTCAAAATAGACAAACTGCACTGCGTGATACGTAAAATCCTGCCAAAATCAAAGATCACTAATTTCATTATCCCCTCATCAAAATTTTCTTATTCACGCAATACTGAATTCAGTGGGTAAACCAGATGTTTGAGAAACAAAGCCCGCTCGGCAACTGACCTTTACATCATAGGGTTGAAGCAAACTACTAATCTAACAAAAATCTTTCCGTAAAGTTGTTTAGTACGTAATGATGAGATTGTCGAAACTTTTGCATCGCATGACTTTTTTTTACCACACAATCAAGCAACACCGAGGTGCATTAAAGCAGTGGTGTAGGGTAGGAAAAGTACTTCTTGGATGGAAACCAATAAAGGTGTACCTGTTTATGAAAATCCTTTAATTGACAACCTAGTGTTGCTAAACGATACAACTGACTGGTACATAAAAGCTGAGGAAACAAACCTCTTGGCGATGACCACTTCACATTTACTCCAAATTACTTTTAACGTACCACTATTACACCTCAACTGTATTTGTAAGTCTTTCGATGGCAAAGATGTAACGAATCGCATCTTGAAAAAATTGGGCAAACTTTTTCAAGCTAACATTGATTTCTTTCTTCTAAAAAAGTTACCAAAAACCTACCATGCTTTGTTTTTCCTTTGATAAATCATATCTGGTATTTTCCTTTAGAATTCCAAGCTATGAAAAAAGTAGCTAAGAACACTAAGATAAGATTTCGGCTCAACTGTGACCCGAAAAAAGTGGGACATTCCCATAATCCTTTAACAAAACATGAGAGTCTTCCATGCTTAAGCTTGTGTCCAGCCGCCGCCTCCTTCGGAGAAGGGGCCCTTCTCCGATTTTTCTGAGGGGGAGGGGGTGGGGCGGCTGTACAAAGGCTACCATGCATTAGACTAACAAAACTCTTTTCTGCTCTGTCAACAGTCTGTTTGTTTGTACCTGTTCTTCTACTGTACATCATTGAACTTTATCCAAGGATACCCATCACCGATAAATCGTCAAAAGACCGACAGTCAAGATCGCGGGTGGCCAAATCTGTCACGCACCTTCATGTAGTTGGAAATGCTCCGACCAATAGAGTACGCGCCCAGTTACTTTCAAGGACTGGCTATTTCTTGGAAATTCTAGCCGACGGAACCATTGATACAACACTGAACAATTCATCAAATTACAGTAAGTGAGTGATTTACTAAAAATAGTCAGTGCAGTTGCGATTTTGCGATTGCTTTGCTTTTACAGTCAACTGTTTCATTGGCGACCGCCCTCGTAAGCGCCCACTTAGAAAATAACCGTTCTATTTCTCATTCAAATACTGTTTTTAAAAAAAGTCGTAAGCAACGACTATACTTTAATTTCTTAAACGACCGAGACCAGTTTTAGGCCTGGAATTTGACTTATTCTCTTGTTTTCTGTTTCTCATAAGCGACCACTCGGCGGCATGATCACGTATGAAATATCATTCAGCTTGCATGTCACAAAAGTTCAGTTTTTTACTAGCGCCGATAAAGTGCAATGAAAGATTATTATAGCATGTGAGTTACAAAAAAGATGGCTGCATTGCGATCTGTTCTAAAAGGTATAAACTTATGTAATTACGCAGGGAGGGAGGAGCACTCGTCTCTTGCTCAACTTCAACACCTATAAACCACATAGTTTTTTTTGCAGAATACCAGTTGTATTAGAAAACCGCAGGTCATCTCGGGGGGGGGGGGGTGCGCACCCCCTGCACCCCCCCCCTAGATCCGCCCCTGAATTACGTTAATCAGTTCAATTTGAGCTCATTCGCTTGAGTTTTTCCGTAGACGACCACCTCCCGTGGGTGACCACTTTGTCGTGCACCAAGGGCGGTCTTAGCCTGCGAACAGCAGACGTATTTCCGGTCGTCGCTTCTCGGAAGGAGAGAAGCGACGACCGGAAATGCGTCTGCTGTTAGCAGGCTAGGGTGGTCTCTACTGGGAGAGTTGACTTTTGCAGCATTGTCCTACCATAGTGCGCATTTGCGAACCTGAGTTAATGTCGAAAGATTTACCCATTGTTAGACGAGGCTGAGTGTCATCTGAAGAATTATTCAGATCATTACAAGCCTCATACAGGTAACAATGTCAGTTAGGTTGATCTTAAACCAATTTAGGCCATTGGTGTACCTTGCCACGAGAAGACATTACACTCAACATATACTGGACTGCGGCCTTGCTAACCTCTATTACCAGCCCTTTTTTGTCTCCCAGTCCCTTCGTTTCTCGTGGGGGAGCTACTCACCAAAGTTTTATTAAGAAATCTCAGCCCCCAGGTCCAATCCCGTACTTATTTACATAAAATTTGGGTAAAAAAGAAACTCCTTCCACATACCTGATCCATTGAAACATGATGCCCTTGTCACATACCTAGTAACAATAGGTCTTCGTTTCATTTTATGATACAACTATAAGTTGCATCGATTCCAAATGTTTTAGTATAAGACCCTTTTGAATAGCTCAATTAAAAATTTCGCTACTCTTTCATAAACTTCTACTTAACAAATCCCCTCCCGAAATCCTGAATAACGTACCCCTTTTTGGCCGGGCCTCCCCATATGGGCCATATCACAGGGGGTATCCTCTTGTATTTGTTGTTGGAAAGAGGATGCTAGCCGGCTGAAAATTGATCCTACATCCGTGCACTTGGAACTGGCGGGACCAGGAACTTGCTATATTCCGAGCCTGCCTTTTTTGTGCAGAGGACGTGTTTTAACCAATTCTTCTGTAAAGGAAGTACAGCTTCTTTCATGTCAGTTTGAACTCATCAACAACATTTTTTGTTTTATCCTTTAGCAATTTTAGAAATCCAAACATACAACAAAACGCTAAAAAGATTTTTAGGAGTACACTGTGGTTGTTACCTCGCTTATGAAGATAGAGGCAAGAGAAGAGGAAAATTTATTGGAACAGTAAGTTTTTAGAAACATTTTTTAACATTTAGTTAGATCAACGTATCAGTATTGTAGTGCAACGATTCCAACTAGTGCCACCCAACATTGAATGGGCCAATCATAGCTCACGTCCTCGACGAAGTATCGAGTATGAGCAGGTCGTAGTACTATGATGTAAATTTCTGATTAAAAAGGTTTTATCTGAACGATAACACCGTATGATTTTATCCACAGATTCCAAAGTCAGAATAACAAATTACCTCACCATAAATCCACCTAAGAGTAAATGGTTTAAACTATACTTCAGATTTATCCCTCTCCCCTACCAGCTGTAACACTCTAACCCAGATTATTTCTCTTTTTTCAGAGAAAAAAAACCAACGACTCTTTGTTCCTGGAACTGTTTGAAGAAAATAGTTTTACAACTTATAGGCCGCTAACATATCCACGTCAACATAACGACACGGGGTATCTGGCAATTAAAGAAAACGGAAAGTTTAGAAGAGTAGACAGATCAATGGCCGGCATGCAGGCGTCACAGTTCAACATTCTAGAGTTGAAATAGGTGGGTCAGTATGCTTTAAGCATTGCACTATTCATTTAGAGCGATTTTCTTATGACCTTGAAAAATGGTTTCAGTACGTACGTTTTCGTTATTTGTTTTATCAGCCAATTGATGAAAAGATCAAAACATGGACTCTTCGTTTTCCCGCCAAAGAAAACCCTAATATGGAGAGGGCATTGTTCGATTGGCCAATCGTGTTGCAGTATGACGTAAAAGCGAAGTATTGATTAATTTCTAGAAAGTTCTCGGGCATAAAGTTTTTCACCCGTGCGTTCGCTTAACCAACCAAAAGCCACGTGCGTTTGTATCCATTCGATAAACCAATCAAATTCCTCTATTTTCGTTCGTTTGTTCTTTCTGTTCGCGCTTTTTCATTTCAAGGTTATACGAAAATCACTCTATCATTTACTAACAAAACCCTACCCCTCAAACCCTATGTATGGATCATGGCTGTTTGACTAAAATCATAGTGCAGATTGTTGTAAACCTGTTTTGCGTGAATTCACAATGTACGAATTCGAATTGAAATATAATCTCAATTATGATTTCAAACTAGCCAAAATTCAACGAATAGAAGTTACCCAAATCAGGTAGGATTTTAGTCAGTTCCATTCTTTTCATTTTTTTGATCCAACAACCAGTTTATAAAAAACTGAGTAGGACCGAAAGTGCTTTTACACCTTATTTTGTGACGGAAAGCAAAAATGAAATGCAATTTAGAGCAAAAAATAGTGTATGTGATTCGTGGATAAATCACATTGTTGAAAGTCAATCAGATTGCAGGGTCCCAGGGTCCACCACTGATTTTAAAGTGACCAACAGACTTGTCTTTTCATGTTTTATAGCTTCCTACTTGGCCGTCTTGGTCCCGAAAGAGGAGTTACGAAAAAATAAGAAAACCACACGAGGAACCTAATTTGCTGTCTTGAGTAAGACTTAGAAGAATTAGACGTCGTCTCGTCGAGGATTATGCCTTGTTTTAATTGTTCAAGGAAGACAGAAGAATTCGTTGCAATCAATTTACAGAGTGTTAGAATCAGAGTGGGTTTGTTTGTCCAGTCCCTCGGCGTGAAAATTGCGGTCCCACTCAGTGAAGGGACTGGATAAGAAATCTAAAATACTTAGAGACAATAACAATAGTTTTTGATATAGCTTTTAAACAAATTCCCTGAAATAAAAATTTTATAGCTTTGTTTTGTTTTTTATAATATATATATCTAGTTTTGAGGTCCTTTTTGAAAACCATATCTGTTAAATCATAAATACTTAAAATACTTAGACAATAATGAATCAAAAAACGCCAACTCCAAGTTGAAACATAACTTATATGTTCGTGGGAAAAACCCAAGAGCGGTTAGTCTATATAAGCATTTTTGTATTTACTTATGAGGGCCTTTGAAATATTTTTCTTTAATTAAGGTTTTAAAATGGCAGAGAACGTATATTTAATAGTTTGAAGGGCTCGGGACTTTTCCAGTACGAGAGAATATCTTATTTAACTCATGAATGTCCATAATCAATCTACCAGTTCGTCTTTTGTCTAGTTTCAACAGTAGAAGGGAAGACTTTTCGTTTGACATTAGTGGCTAGGATAAACATAGAGTCTTTCATGTTTCACTGCTGATTCATGGACTGGTGATCACATGACGTTATTTATAGATCATCAATGATATCGTACATGAAACCTCTGCTTGTGATCTTTGTTTTTAACGAGACGTGATAATAAGTTAATTTCGTAACTCAAAAAGAAAATTCATATGAAATATTTGGAGAATTGGCATACGTAACACATTCTTGCGTTGTATCTTGAAACTTCCCACAGGTCACTTGGCAGATTTCATTTCTTTTCTTATATGATGCACGAGCCTTGAAGCTAATATAGTGATCTGACAAAGATTGGTCGGGAATTTAGGAAAGTCAAGTCACGGCTGGGATATATATTCACGGTATACCACGAGAAAACATCGAATATCTAATATATCTCATGCCTAAGATGTAAACGAATAAACCATTACATCACGGTAAACTAGACGAAAGTCACTTTTCGAGTTATACCCTATTTTTTTATCAGCATCTTTTCCCGACTCAATAGATTGATTCAGAAAACTACCGTTGTTTACAGCCTGTGTAGCACACAGAATATGACACGGTTTCTTAACTCTCTGATTGGCGGTATTCTTCAAAAGCCTGCTAGGAAGGCGCTTAAAGGGGTAGTAAGGTGGCGCGCGAGTACACAAAGTGCAAGCGCGCGAGGGAGAAGGAAAGAAACGCCTGCAAGGACGTTAGATGTTTTTGCCTGTTCCCTTCCCTCCTTCCTCGTGCGCCCTCGCGTTTTCGCGAGTCTTTCCCCTCTCCTCCCTTTGAAACACCTTTCACGCAGGCTATATTCTTGAAGACATGGAATGAAAATGTATTGATTAGGATAACTGAAATAGCTGGTAGAGACTGTTTATTTAGCCTCATCCTTGGGTGTAAGGACCTTTAATAATCACGATTGACTTAAAACAAAGAGGTCAGCACAATAGAGACGAGGAAAATAATAGATATTAAACACAGAAAAACTACACAGCTTTTTTTAAAAAAACTCTAATTGTGAGCAATTTTAACCTCTTTACTCAATTATAGTAGCTTGGCAAAAGAACAAAACGATGTTAAAAATTGTATGGAAAATGATTTAAAAGATTTAATCATAGAAGAATATTATCTGTTCTTCACACAGGAGGAGTTTTTCCACTTACTAAAATAAATAATAATTCATTTTTCATCTCTGGAAGCTGGTAAATTAACAAACTACTTTAGAATTTGTTTTAAGCCTAATGACGTAGTCTACTCTTGAAGAAATACCTCTGATTCGACCTGATGATTTAGTGTTGATTTCTTTTATGTAATTGGCACAAAGTGCATTATAATATTTATTTATTTTTAAACGTAGCAGTTGGTTATTTAAGATAAATAAAGTTAAGATATCATGCCGGAGATCGATGACTCTTTCCATTTATCTTAATAAATAATTAACATATACAGTTAAGCAAGTTTTATTTAACAATTAATGAATTCGGCTTTCGTATCTTATGAAGAATTATGGAGATCTAGGAGGGTGTTATCGAGGCGGATAACACCTTCAGAGATCTCCATAATTCTTCATAGGATACAAAAGCCGAATTCAACAATTGTTTTATTATTCACTCAAAATGGTTCCTAGTTTGAAAACATAGCTAAAAACATGCTTACCTCCATCGACGTTAAGTTCATCTTCCATAGTGCACGTTTAGGGTTGTTCAGCTACGCAAATATTCTCCAAAATAATTATAGCAGATGTCGCCCTTCTAGTTATCTTCTTGCTGTTCTTGCCATGTTTTTAGCTATTATTTCGTCTAGTTCTTACTCTTGAAACGAGTGAAATGTCCACCATTTTTGTTTTCACAACCAAACCAACTCAACCTCGTCCCCAGGTCTTCTCGGTTAACGATACATTAACCTGAAAGGAAGTGTACTTTTGACGTCATCGGTTCATTAATCGCAAAATTGTTCCAAATTTGGTCATCAGTAGCTAGTTATGGTGAATTATGCGTGTGCTTTTAGCCAATCAGAATTGGGAAAATATTTTGAATGAATAATAATTTTGGGCACAAATGCCGCTAGTCTGTTCCAGGCGTTCAGATAGTAGAGGGCGGACGATTTAACTCGCTCCCCACCATCTGAACGCATTGAGCAGGCTAAAATGTTGCCTGCCTCTTCCATAAAAACAGTTTCCTTTACAAACAGTTTCTCCATTGTCTTCTTTGCGAGAAGCGTGAAAATAAAAGACTCCTTTTTAGCGCTAGTACTGATGTACGTGTGCTGGGGGAACTTTGATTGCAACACAGACTCTCTAGCTTATTTAGCTGGATACAATTTACAGTCGAATATCGATATATTGAAGCAAGGCCTTGAGGGTCTTTACCACAGGACTTATTATATAGGTCCGTTAAATCGAGATTCCACTGTACAGTGGAAGGCTTAAGCTTGGCTCGATTCCTGGTTACTGTATTTTCTTCACCACCAAACTCTTTTCAATACTATCTATGCACTAGCAACGCCAACTATTTCAATAATTCAGCCATATTCACAAAAAGCATGTGAAACCCGGATTTCAAAAAAGTCCAATGCGTCAGCGTTTAACTCGCAAACATTTGAAGCATGCATGTTTAGATATTGGTATTTATTGTTTATTTCATTTGCAAATGACAAACACTCTATTACTTTTATTAGCTCACTCTCAATTAAATTAAACTGGCTAGGCTACTATACTACTTCTAACAATTCAACTCGGCGATACCCGCCTCGTTAACCATAGACTCAAAGAAAACTAGAACTCCACTCGTAAAGTTATTTTCAATTTAACAGATTAGTCTTTCGCGTCGGAGGACTCTTGGCCAATGAAATTAGCCAAGGGAATCACTGTGGCCAACGAAGAGAATTTAACTTGTTAAAATGGTTAGGAAGAGAGGACCAAAGAGCTTTAATCTAAAATATCAACTTTCATGTAGGATTTTGCGGACCTTTGTGAACACGGAAATCTAAAAATAGAATGAAAGTGTCACGCGTAGTAAATGTACTATCCAGTAATGAGACCCAGGATTAATTCAGCTCCCAGACTCCCTATATGTCTTGCAGGCACTGGCCATTTACGAACGAAGCTGGAGTATTTGAGAAAGCTCTATGTTCTCTGAGTGGATTTCTGCTATTCGTTTGAACTTCCTCTGTATTAATCGGTTTGATTACTTTCATTCAAAATACAATGAAATCTTATTGTGGAAATAAATTAACGGGCGTTTTCTTCTGCAGCCTTAGCTTGTTAGAGGCTTTCAGATGGTGGAGAATGGCGCTTTTTTGGCGCTGTCTTCACTCTGAACAGGCTACTATAACCTTGAATACTGTGAAATAAGAAACGTTATCTATTCTAATAAGCGCCGCTCTCTAATAAGGGCAAACGCTCCTAATAAGCGTTGCAACATACCAGCAACGCTTGTTGATTTTCATTGTTTTTAATTTTTCAAACGCTGCCTCTGACTTCTTAGAAGGAAAATTGGGCCTTCAAAACTATCTCTTGTCATGTTCCTTTTGCTGACCGCTGTTCGAATCGATTTTGAATTTACTTGGTTATTATTGAAAGGAAAAAACGCCATTTGTGCTTTGGTGATTATAGGTGGAAATAGTATTTCCGCTGTGTATCTAAATATAAAAACATTTTACATTGATAAACCATGTTCCATGTTTTTTTTTAAAATTATGTTACAAAGTAATTGTTTCTCGTGGTATGAAAATTGAGCTTGATCGAAAGAATTTACAAAAGTCCAAAAATATTCCATGTAAATATAAATACTATTTTATGTCTACGTTTTAAAGCATTTAAATTGTTTGTGTAAAATTAAGCTGGAATGATCTACTATTAAATAACAAATTACTGCATTGAAAAGCATCCTACCTCAATCGATCGTTTTCAGTCACGTGTTCAGCAGTTTTGCAAATTGCTTGGAATAATGAATAATGTGAAAAGAGTTAAATTCCCACATGATTTTTTGTATTTTTTTCATTGTTTTGTACACAAACATGACGTCATGTGAAAATGATCTTTTAAGCATAGAGTGTTTTCACATGACGTCATGTGAAAAACGATCTTTGGTGTCCCAAACCAGTCCTCTGGGAGTTGAACTCTTTTCTTATGCAAACTTGCATTATGATAAGTCCTTTTGCATTAGATTACATTACTGTATGATAAGTCCTTCATGTAAATCTTTTTGTGGTTCACGTGGTCTGGGGAGTTGTGATTGAACCCAGTTCGCCAGGCAAGGAAAAAGGAAAAAAGACTGGAAACTTTATAGGCGAATTTTTGTTTACAATTTTTGCCTCATTAACATATTATGCTTATCATTATCTGATGGAGCAAAATAAATAAACCCTCTGAATATTGAAAGAGTATAACAATTTCAGTTATCTCTGAACATTTGAGCCCGACATACCGAATATTTTCGGAAAAATTCGCTTTAAAAACCCGACATTTTTAATACAAAGAATGTATGGCTTATTAACGTTTTTGCCACTCAGCAATTTCGCAGTTTTTGATGGCTGATATTTTCTCCAATATCGCTTGCAAAAAGCTGAAAATTGCACAAATTGCTCAAAAAAATTTAGCTCTTTCATCTTTTGAATTTAGTTGGTATATACGGCCACGGCTTTTATGAGTTAAGTCTTATGCTAATGAGGTAAATGCAAACAACGACGTTAAATATGAAGCAAAGGCTCGATTCTCCAATATTGAATGGAGAAAAATTGCAAACGATAAAGATGAAAATTTGTTATGATTAAGGTTGTAATGACATTGGGGTCGTCCTAGCAACGAAATGACGCTTGAGGCCCTTCCAAAATCTTCACGGGAGGCCACTGATTAAGAACCGCTTTGAAATATGAAATTTTTTTAAAAAACGTGTGTGAAAAATGATGGAGATAGCTACAGCCGATTGCTAGAAAGAAGGATTTGATTAGCTGTATCGAGGCTCTCCTGTTAGAGGTTTGTAGGTCCTTTAACAAATTAGGACCTCGCGTAAAAATCTAAGACTTATGGTGCGCCTATTTAGTGATTTTAAAAATGCCAACTTCGGATCTGTAACTGAAATTCAAACAACTTCGATGTCGTTGCAGCCTTGAATTTTTCATCTTTATCTAATGCAACTGTGGTGGCTATCGTCTTCCCCCTGAAAAACTGTATCGAGCCACCTTAAGGCCCCTTTAGGCACAACTTATAGACAAGTGTACGTTCTAAGGGTAATTTCGGAAAATCTGCGGTTACGATTTTTTGGATGTGTCACAGCCAAATCTGACCAGTGAGAAAACTGAAAGCTGAAAAGTATTAAAAGGTATCCTCAAGGTTTTGTGATCATTCTCATCTTTGCATTCAACATTGCAGATAACCATCGTCATTTTGAATGCAGAGAGAAGGGTGGGAGCGTGATATTCGAAGGAGACTCTGGATGTAATTACATGACAGGCGTTGTGATGTAATTTCCATTTGAATATCCTTGAGTGTCTACGCAGACTGGTAAAGAACGAGTCGTGTCACCATACGTGTTGCCAAATCTAAAACGACGCTCTGAAAGAAAAAGTGAAGAAAACAACGCATTTAAGCAACTTCAATGATGAACATTTTCTCAATTCAGGTCAGAGCACATTACCCTCCTAACACAGAAATCTAAAGTCAATAATGAAATACATCGGGACTGAATATATTCCTTGTGATTTAGTAATGACTAATGTTATAAGTTCGTGGCTTGGTTATACTGTCATATCTGTCGCGGTAGGAGTTTAAGACGGCAAGGTGAAGACGGGGGCATAGCTAAAATTTTTCCGCAGGTATGTACAGTTTTCCAGATCTACCTTAACACGTCTCCCAAATATAAATCGTATTCTTGGGGGTGGTTTTATGAAATTTTACTTTTTTTCACCAGTATATATAGTACAATAATCATCTCTTTTGGTCCTTAAGGTCCATGTTCTTCTGGGGCAGGAACGGCTTTCGAGAATGGCAAAATCGGATGAAAACACCGCATTTTGTTTTGAAACTGTTTCCGCCCGTTTTTCTCCGTCGCTTCGACCACATAAAGATTGCAAAATAAGCGATCGTGCTCCCACATTATTCTAGGATTGGTCTATGTATCTAGCAGGCCCCACTATCCACCACACTGAATTGAAAACAGCACTTTCCAGAATAATTGAGTAGCTGGCGGTTTTGTTGGGGCTAATCCTAAAGGATAATCTGAAAATAACGTGGAAGCATAATCGCGTATAGTTTTCAATCCGGTTTATGTGGCGGAAGTGACACAAAAAATGCGGTGTTTTCACCCGATTTTGCCACTGTCGAAAGCCGTTCCTGCCTCTGAGGAACATGGACCTTGAGGACCAAAAGAGATGATTACCTCCCCAAATATACTGGTAAAAAAAGGTAAAATTTAATCAAATCACCCACAAGAATCCGATTTGGGATACGTGTTAAGGTACATCTGGACCAACAAAAATCGATGGTGGGAAATTGAAAACAACACTGACAGAATAACTTCTGACGTAGCTGGCGGTTTTTTTGGGGCGCGGTGAAGGAAAATTCATTTTCCTTCCATCGATTTTTTTGGTGGACGTCAGGGTTTTCAGAGGCAATTCTGTTACCTGTTTTCAAGACTCAGTTTTTGATCGTTTGGCATGAAGCCGAGACGCCGCAAATCAAGAACACGTTAATTTGAGCGGGTTCCAAGTTGTTCGCTATGTAATTTCTATTGCATGTTATCAGGAGCCCATAATTCATGGGAAGTTACATCACATTTGCATATCTAGGAAGTAAGTTACGGCTTATTAATAGGTATTCACTTACGCGGTATGTATCCGGTATATTTTGGCTTCATTCCGATTTTCTTGTAGAGTGTTCCATGCTCTGCAATAAGGGTTTTTACCGTTGACACAGGCATTCTGGAAGAAAGAGATAGTGAAGTGCCCATAAGACCATATTTCGATGACTAGTATTTTGAAAGATTGCATTTCCAGTCAAAAATAAAGAATTATAGACGTTTAAGTTCCTTTTCGACTGCCTCACAAGAAATGAAACCTAAAGAGTCATTTTTTTGCTCAAATCTAATCTAATTTAGATCTTCATTCAATTATTGAACCAGGCAACTACAAACCGGGTTTGCTCAAAAAGAGATCTTCTTGTTACCTTGTGACGTCAATAATCTGGGTGGCCAGGCTTTCCTGCTTATTGCGCATGTCTAGTGAGTCAGTAAAGCCGTCCCTGGTCCATGTGGCGTATCTAGTTCCCAGGTCATGTTCTCGCCTCCGAGGTACATAGCCGGTGTAACCTGGTACTGGTGGCTCGCAGAATTCACGGTGATCACCTGTCATGGCAACAAGGGATTTTAGGTTAGGCTAAATAGCCTGCTAATGAATGCAGCCGTCCCTAGCGGCGAGGTGCGAGTAGAGATGGCTGTATTCGAAGGCTAATGCTCTATTGTGTTAAAAATATCAAATCAAATCAAATCAATAACTTTATTTAACCACGGAGTCCTTTTCATTAAAAAGTGCTCTCCCAAGGAGCCATGCACTTTAGCAATAAGTTATGCATAATAGTTTATAATACTTAAACTCATGTCATTACAATCATAAAACTTATCTAATTTTAAAATTAGAGTACGAAAAATTAATTAAACTAGTAGCCTACCTTGCCTACACTAATCAATTGAATTAAAAAAATTATTTGAACTAGTGGCCTGCTTAGACTCGACCGACAGGCTATACCATAGGACAGCACCCCTATACCAGAAATTCTTAAATGCCTCAGTATGGTCTTGGAACGAAGAGATTGTGTTGCGAGCTCCGCAGATTATGTCTGTGAATGGAATTGGTGTAGGCAAATTTCTCTGATATATATTCGGGCACATGCCTGTTCACTGTTTCATTAGGACAAATCGGATGAAAAAATAACGGTCTCATGTTCACTCTTGGAATCTGAACCCGATCTATTGATCCCGGTCTATTGCACGCGAAGTAGCTCTATATTTTGCCCCCAACCTTAGCGATTATTTATAAACGTCTCATATGTTTAATACACTACCAGCAGTAAGCCTGGCAGTGACAGTCGGTAGTATTTCTTCCAGCTCGCCCTGTGTAAGGTTATCTAAGAGTAGACAGCCTTTGTCGGCGGAACTTGGATTGCGGTTTCTAATCGTTAGCGGCATTCAGTATTCCGGAATCCGGATTACCTTACATGGAGCGATCCAGTGCTTTCAGGAGCCCATAACCTGGAGCGAGCAACTTCCATGCGTTCGTGTCACTGCGTTTGCATGGACCAGTGTATTTTTAGAACGATTTTGGTGCACATTTTTGATTCGACAAACCAGTCAGCCAAAACCTACAGACCTAAAAATGATTTTTTTTTGCCTTTTACAAACGTTTAGTTTTTCTTTTTGATATCTTATACTTCGAATGCGCACGCTCCGGGTTACGGGCTCCTGGTGCTTTGTACAACGTCCTGAAATATATCTTTTTGCAAAATTACCAGTAACAAATATTACCATGTGAAAATCCTGCTAAAGAGGTTTCATTTGAATGGTTATAATATGTGATTCTATCCACACACTCTACTTAATTGACCAAATGACTCTTGTAGATTAGCGACCAGGTTTGTAGTCCACTTACTAGGAAAGTAACCTTTGGCGTATTTTGGCCTAAGATCGGGATACATGCTGGGTTCTTTGTAACTCGGTACAGGCTTTAATTTTGAATGGCTGTACACAGTTTTCTTCAACTGGTCCTGTTCCGCTCGGTGAGTCTGATCCTTCTTCATAAAGTTGCTAACTGCTTGCTCCGTAGCTTCTCTGTAACGGGATCCATACAAAAACCGCATGGTGGGGACATATCCTGAAAATGAAGAAAGGGAAGAAGAACAAAAGAAAAGAATTTAGACTTATTATAACTCGATTCAAATTGAACTATTGTTTCTTCCCTGTAAATATATTCATTTCGAAAACAAAATAATAACATACTGTGAAAGTACTGATGCGGAAGCTTCATCAAAATGATCACTCGACAGCGATAATTTCGCAGGTGGACCCGAAAGTTAAGGCATACTCTATGATTAACATGGGCTGTATCTCATAATTGTCTGTCGAAGAGAGCTGAGAGTTTACAAAAGGATTAAATTTAGTTATTTTGGATGATAACTATGTTTGTTTAACTCTAGTCTTCGTAGGGGTCGTTATTGAGTTTGAAAACATGTCTTGTATTTTAAGAAAATTAATATTTTTTTAATGAGGAAGTTTGCAACTTGGTGAGCCTTCAGTAAACATCATTAAAGACAACCTCATATATCTTAATTTCCATGAAACAAAGCCCACAAAACCTGTCGCAGGAAACCAAAATAGTGCATATTTAAAGTTATTTAAAAGGATGACTCCATCAAGTAAACATTTTTGCAATAATCTGGACTTGAAATAAAAATAATAGAGTGACCCTTCCACGGTTTTTTCAACTTTTGACATAGGCCACTTCAGGAAAATCCGTCAACATCACTAGAAAGAGCGCCATAAAATTAGAAAACGTTCCAAATTCGAAAGCAATTTGTCTTAAGCGAGCGAAGATATAGATCTGCAAAGTTGCAAAACTTTACAAACGTTTGTATGGTGGGGGGCAAGATTGTGCCCCCCCCCCAATACAAACGCGACTTTAAGAGCTTTGTCTTCGTGAGCTTTCAACAAATCACTTCTAAACTTGCTAACTTTATTAATTTAAAGGCGCTCTTTTCAGCGGAGTCGATAGATTCTTCCTTACTTGTCCATGTCAAAGTTAGAAAAAACCGTGGGAAGGTTTATGAGAGACTATATTCTTTAAAAAATAAAGGAAAAAAAGAGGTGATTTCGTTATGGTCACGATAGTCTCATTGCGTTTTTAAAGTTTAGATTAATAGCGAAAGTAGCTCATTTACAGATAAAGGTTGTGAAACAGCGGTCTATGTTGTGTTTTTTTTTTAAGGAAAAAAAAACGCTTGCAAACGTGTATGTAAATTTGTAACTCCGTGAGAAAACGGTGTTGTGTACGCGCGACTGCCAGTGGTTCCGCCGGCCATGTAAACAACGATTACGACTCCTTAGCGATCCACACTGTGCAATGATCTCTTAACCGTCTTCGTGCTCTGTAAGCCGTTTACGAAAATTCCGGCGTTTACGGTCCACTTGCCTGTGAAGCAAGTTATCACCATGTACAAGTTTGTATATTTGCGGTTTTACAAATTTTAACGAAGTCGTGTGGACATGGGTCAGGCGATTGGTTAACAGATATGTATAATGGCTTATCCAAAAATTACGAGTCTCTGACAACAAAATAAATTCGGCTTTCATGTTGGAGTCTTGAAATCACTCGGCCCCGCTAGCGCTAGAATCAAGACCTTCTCTACAACGTCTCGAATTCTGAATAAGTCTGGAAGGTTCCCCTAACTGACACTGTGCTCTATACCGTATACCGTAATTAAGCAGCGATTTATGCATAAACATACAGCACACATTTGGAGATTTAGTTCTTTTCTTGAACTTTGGAGAAATTTTTTGTTTCGAAACCTTTTTAGCTCTTAGAATCAGTTTAGTCTCGGGCTTGAATTTGCTCATCACTGGAAACTATAAAACATGTAAAAATATCGGTCTTTGATTTTGTTGATAGTAGCCAAAAGTCCCGATCTCGGAGTTTTAACCAATATCTCCCATGTCTTGCAAAGTCTCCGTCGGATTTACAATGCTGTTCCTAGCCACTGACAAAGGGATACTAAGGGCGCTTACCATTTGTCAAAGCTGACCGGCCAGACCGGTGCAGCAATAAAGAGAATTTCACTATTAATCAGGACTGTCCAGCATGATTAGTTAAATTGTAAAAACAATATTAATATGCAGGGCGGCTGAGTCTTAGCAAATACTACTTATTTCATTTTCAAGTAGATGATCGGTCCGCGACTGGCCAATACTGACTTTAGTAAAGGGTTAACCCGAGCTAGAGAGAATGAGGACTATATTTAGCTTGTATTACTGACCAGTATAATACGGAACCATTCCTGCCGTGAGCTTGTTGTCACCATTCGGTGTCGGCAGATATGGTTCTCTTTCCTTTGGATCTGGTAATGTCGTAGGGACAAGCTTCTCATTACGCATGTGTCTCTGTGGAGCAATAAACACTATATTAGTTTCTACAACAGCAAACTTGACAAATTATGCCTATTCAGAACGTAACATTAAAAACTGACAAGAGTGAAGTTGAATGGACTTTGCATGTACTAAAAATGTGTTTGCACATGTAATTTGATTCTGAAATTAGAAAGTTTAAACTGCTCGAGCTTAGTTAAACGACAGAACGAATTAAGTACGTATACCTTTGGGATAACCATATACATAGCGATGTCTCGCCAGAATCTATGCATGCTTTATTTTAAAGAAACTTTCCAGAGCTTTGGAATTGAAAGTTAACTCTTTCGTGCGGTCTTTTGTGTGCTTTCCACGTTGACAATTAAACAAAAGCGGTGTATATATATGCATGGTGCAAAAGTTCAAGAACTGTTCTCGGTATTGTTTGCGGGGTTAAGTTTAGTAAACTTAAGCAAAAGCAATATTTGCATTTTAGTGAAGTTTCTCTTACTGAAGTGAGTTTATCTGTAGCGATTCCGTATGTGTGACCACATTCATATTTCAGCTGAGGGCAATAACCTCTATACCTGTTGATAAGGAAGAAACATATAAGTACTGTATATAGCATAGTGCATTCAAAAAACGCTATGGCTTTTACAACTAGAAACAACAACAAAAAACAAGTTATTCCACGCTGCTACGAACGGAAACCTTTTTGATGCGAAAAGTTAGACGGCCGAGTAAGAAAGAGTAAAAGAAAGAGCGTGGATTTCATCGCGTGCAAATGTCATACACGCGGAAATAGAATTAGTACAACTGGGAACAAAAACTGCACGGCCGGCAGTGGCCACATTGCTTTGAAAAAGCCTGCTTTTTTCTAAATTAACTTGCAGGGAAGCAACCACTGGGGTAAAACAGCGATTTTAAGTTATGCCATTCACCAAGTGCCATAACCAATTAGTCTCGGTAGAAAAAAAACCTTTTATTCTTGAAAGGAATAGTAGAAAGCCCTAATTTCACTGTTTCCTAAAAGCCATTTCTTTTCGCTTGTCTCAGAATGGGGTTCATGTGAATTTATAAAATGAAAACACGCCTTTCTTATCAATAATTGATCACCAGCAAAGCTTAAATTTTCCAGTTAATTTTCCACATTTCCACACTTTCCCATTGCGGCCTTTTTTCTGAGCCCGAATTCAAAGGCTGTTTACACTTTTTTGTCGTGGTTAAACAGGCCCTGTTCTAGTTGTTGTACTTTTAACATTCTACTATCTAAAAGTGTCACCGATCTGAATGGCCCTCTTCGTGTCATGCGCTTGTCCCAAACTACGATTCAATAACTAATTAACGACGAGTGTACAAACCCTGGCAAGTTGCTGGCTTTGTGCGGGTTTGTTAACTCCGTGAAACCCATCTTCAGTTGAAACGCGTGTACAATCTCCGGCTTCTGTCCGATGTCAGGGGGCTTGCTTCTGCTGAATGGCAATTACGGCAAACGCTGTTAGCTTTGCTTGGTTGTCAAGGTACACAACTTTCCCGTTGAGAAGGAAATGATAATAAGCCACTTTGCCGGTGAATACATAATGTACTTTCTATGCAGTGTACAATGAGAGACGCATTGTCAACTAAAGGGACGGATTAGAGTGGCTTATTGATTGGTAAACATGGGTTTACAATAGACAAAGGGTGTCATTTACTGTCAAAAGTTTATTACTTTAGTGCTGTATCTGACAGCTAAAGGACTTTACAAAGTGACTACAGCTGTATTTATGCAAATTGCGCCAGCTACAAAACACGCAACTTTACCATCATTACAAATACAAATTTTGCGATTTTTAAAATTTTGTAGTACATGTTTCGCTAGTGTGTCTGACGTCTTCGTCAGTTAGAAAAATAGTTTGAAAAAACGTTTTTTTATAACAACTCAAAGAAGCATGCATAATTAACTGTAATTACCGTTATGTAGCCTGCGAAAGTTTCACCTGTCGCTTTCGCCGCTTTCGAAACCAGTTTCTTTTCTTTCTTCCTCTTTTCCTCTCTTTCCCTTTAATTAAAAACCCCCTGAGAGCCTGGTCACAAGCGACTACTTGGTCGTGTAAGCCTCCCCAAAACGTCCGTAGAATATTTTGCATGAACGGCAGCTGGAAGTTTGGATTGCAGGAATAAAACGAAAGCAATGTATTATTCATCCCTGAGCCTCAAGATGACTTGTTTTGTTTTACTCCCCTAAGTCTCGGAACAAAGTAGGAATTTTGATGATATATCGAAACTGGTCTGTTACCCGAATTTAGAGAATCGTCAACGTTTCTGAAACTGCAATGCTGAACAACTTCCTTGGGTAAGATATTTATATGCATGGTCACTACTTTCCCAGTTGAGATTAATCGTCATTAGAATTTCTTTGAAACCCATTTCAGTCTTTCCTTTTCAGCCTGTGGTCGACAGGATCATTCGAACGAAGGAACAGGCGAAGACTTTTTTAAATGGTGTTATGAGCAAGCTGTTCCACAAAGTTCATATTATAGAGTGCCAGACGAAAAAGGTTGTACACTATTGACATGAGTCTTACGAACTGAGTCTTCGCTGGTCATCGACATAAGCTTACTTCCTCCAATGTTCTGTAATGTTTGAAGTTAATAAGCAGTGTGTTTTGGTCGAATCACGCGACTTTCACGTCGAGTCTTGTTAAAAGCGTATGCTAAAAGGTCGTAAAGGGACACGGATAGGGTAAGTTAAACGATAAGAACAGTTTAACTCTTTACAATAATTAGCTTTTGTTAATAAATAGAGGGTGTTAGATGGCTGCGCGGAGATACGAAAGTGGTGAATAATATTCGCGAACGAGTGAAATATTTTTCAACAGGAGAAAAGAAATTTTGTATCTCCAAGCAACTATGTAATGTTCTATTTATTACATAAACACCAATAAAATACCAAGCCATTTCATTAAATAGCTTTTTGCTGTGAAAGGCGCGATTTATTATGTAGCCATAGCAATGGTGATCTTTTTGCATGTGAAGATATCATTTTTTCGCGCAAAAGCTCACCTGGTATTTTCAGGCGCGGATCTAGGATAAATACTGACTGATTTCCTAAACGAGCGCCCTGCACTGCTTCAGTCAATTCCAAGTGTGCCCAACAGGTGGGATATACAAAAGCTCCATGGTGGGGCTTGAAAAGTAGCCAGGCTCTCCACGAGGGTAGAGGAAAAGAGAGCTTGCAACAATACCTTCCCTCCCGGGCTCATAAACGGCAGTTTACAGTATGGTATCCCTGATACGTTTGTTCGAAGATTTAAAGGTGGCTGAATGCCGTTTCATGGGTTGTGGGTGGTTAACATTCATTAGGGTGGTATTTAAGACTTATTGCAGGGATAAAGCTCAAATTTGACAGGGACTTAATATATGTATAAGGTAAAACTTAAGATTTCTAAATTACTGTCATGGGAACAAAGGCGATTTAAACAATTTTTAATAAAAATTATTGAATTTAGTCGCTTTAAGCAAAATCAAGTCATTAGAACCTGGTTAAATTGTAACAAACAGTTTTCATCACCATGTGAAATTTGATTTCGTGAACTTTCAAATTAGACTACGAGTAGTCCCTCACCCCTTGCCTTTCTCTCTCGCTCTACTATCCTAACCTGAGATCAGGCTCAATTTTCGTTTCACTTTGTAAATAACATTCCAGCGGCAAGGTGGTAGCCGTTAGAGAGAATGTATGAGAACTGCTAAAATTGGGCCTGATCTCAGGTTATACTATCCCGGAGGAAAAATAAGGACTACTCGTTTCTAGTGAGTAGAATTTGAGATATTTGCATTTGCTTACATTGCCTGGGAAAGTAAACAAAACAAGCACTCTCACAATATTGTTCCCTAAGTATCGGGTACGCATGCTCAACATTTTGGTAGAAATCATGTTTTGACAAAAGTGATAAAAACAGAAATATATACAGTCAAGTCTCTCATAGTGAACACTTCTCGTACATGTAAGTGACCACTTCCCTTTGTAAATAACTGTTAAATGTTTCTCAGGCAACTACTGGTTTTGGTAAATTGTCTCGTAAGTGACCACTTCTCAAGCAACTACAACCACTTTTTTGACCAGAAATTTGACATATTCTTTTGTTTTCTGTTTCCGGTGAGTGACCATCCAGAATGATCATGTGTGGTGATTCATAAGGAAATCTTAAACAGATATAACAAAAGTTAAATCTTTAATTATTGCACTAACCGAGGTTGCTGACAGGTAATAACAGTGTTGACTTACAAAAAAGATAGCTATAACAAGAGCAGTCTTAACCATTTAAAAGGTGGATTGTTACAAAATATAGTGATCTGATGCAAGACGTTTTGTGCAAAGGTTCCACAATGCATAGTAATATACAGTGTCCTCACCAGGAGTTTGCCTTGGGGAGTCCCAGGCCCCCCCTGTTGAGAAATAGGGGCCCCTGTAAGAACATCAGGGGGACAAAGTGAGCCCGCACTTCAAATGATCTGTTGAGTGAAGTACACCTACCTGATCCAATATGGCGGATGGAGTGTTTGCGATTCGATAACAATGCATGTACCAATCTTCGCAATGTACGTGGGACCAACAAACGTTAAGGAAATAATTTAGTTTTTAATGGTGAACCTAACACTCCTGCCAGCATTTTGCTTGGTCGAATGAATAAAAAACATGATACCAAAAGATTCAAAGTCTTTAATTTTTTGAATCTTTTGATATCATGTTTCTTATTCATTCGACCAAGCAAAATGCTGGTAGGGGTGTTAGGTTGACCATTAAAACTACTTAACTGTGGACGTTCTAAAGTCCATTTGACTCGCAGCATGCCTCTGCGCCCCAACGGGCACATCTTCTTGTCTCTTTATGTGCCATCTCAGATTTTCTTGTGGGAATTCTGCAAGGCCGCGGCCTGGTGAGAACACTGAATATAAATTATGATTAGATTCTCCAAGCACTGCTCAATTTGAAATAAGCCAGAATTTATTTTTGGCCTGTAAGTTAACAATCTTAATGTAATTATGTTAATCAATTCTGTTTGAGCTTGTTTTTTGTATGACAATGACTTCCCATAAGATTTAGTGATCACTTTGTGGTTTCTTATGAGAGAGTTGACTGTTACATATTTTTTAAATGTAAATCTTCAACAGCTTCTGGGAATTTTTCAAAGCTTGTGCTCACAATTTTTTTCTGGAAAATCCTAATGGCTGCATGGAATAAAGCATTTCTACAGGCTAGAAGTTTTGGGTGTTCTTTTATCATGTTTTTTTTTAAAGATCATGTCAGGGCTTTTGCCTGCTGAGAATTAATATTGTTTCAGGGAAAATGGCTTAGCACATGCAACTGTATCTCAGAAAAAACTGGTTTCAGCCACCTTAGCTGCCTTAGTTAATAATTTCCGGACTGCATGTACTATATATACAATGGAGAAGAGAAAAAAAAAGATAAGCTAGGTAGGCTTTTAGAGCAGATGCTTCCTCTCTTCTTGTGTGTATACTCTCCTCCCTTGTGTACATTGAGCACACATCTCGTTTTCCAAAGTCTGTTTTACAGCTTGCCATTAAGGTAAGCTATAGGTAATGTGTACTAACCCAAAAGTCATTCTAACTAGCCTCCCTCCCCCCACCAAATTTTGATGACCAGGATTGATTATAGTTCTTCTTGTAATTTGAATTTCTCAACACACTTCACTTCCCCATTGGGCAAGTTAAGAACAGAATTAACTAGCCAAATAGCAAATCCAAATCCCACTACTTTCTTTGCATGCTGTTAAGGGGTACATTATTAGTGATCCAAGACATTTCGGAGCGTAAGCAACGACGACGTTGACGGCAACGAGAACGGCTAAAAATCAATAGGTTTAGATTGGTTGCACATGCATCACGCTGCATGCAAACAACCTAAACGTGCCTAATTTCACGTTTTTTCGAGGACGGGAACGCAAAACAACAGTTTTCTTTTTCTTTTCCTGAACTTTTGATAAAATCCTTTAGAATTCAACTCCAAAGAAATTTGCCAACATTTGACGAATTAAACGAGATGGAATAAGCGCGGTAAATTTATAGGCAGCGCGACTTCACTTTTTAAGTGACGTTTTCTTAGCTGTCGTCGTTGCCTAAAGCCCTGTGCAAACAGACGCAACGTTGTTGGCCAACAACTCCCAACATTGTGGGATGTTACATGTTGCGCCCGTTTGCACACCCTGTTGCAGGTTGCTGGATGTTGTTGCGCAAAGTTTGAAACTGGTCAAACTTTTCAGCCAACAACTCCCAACATTTCTAGTTCCGTGATCCCCGAAGCGTGGCGCAACAATGTTGGATCCGTTTGGACAGCTCTTCCAACATTGTTGGGGCCACGCACGCTCATTACGTATGGTTCACAAAGACTTATGGGTTGTATCCTTCCCAC